GTTTAATCACCTCTTTTGAAATCTATCTTTTATGACCTTTCTTTATAAATGAAATACATTTTCCTATTGTTGAGTGAAGCACTAAGAAAATACTGCAACAGGATAAGCAATTGTATATTTTTTTCCCCCAATTATATCATTTAGAACTATGTTTCTTTTCAAACCACATCTTGTCCAAAAATACTGAGATAGTATTACCATGAAAGAAAAGTATTAGTCCAGCAAAATCCCTGCCTTCTTTTAAGTTTGTAGGAGTTTATCTATTGACCTAATTTGTGCAGGATTTACTTCTTGATTATGGGGGTTAAAGACAGAAATAGTACTCTGGCTGGTTGCTTCAGCTGTAGAATGACTCAAGGCCCCTGCTGATTCCCTCATGCTGGCATTACTGTGAGAACCAGTACTGAGAAGACTGTCTGTGGCTTTACACATGAAGCTCTGGATAGTGTTTCATCTCTTTATTCAAGCATCTTTAAATACATGAGCTGTCCATTATTAATAGTTATTTGATTTGAGATATCAAGATAAGGAAGGCTTTATGGAAAAAGGATACTTTTACATTATTATATTTTGGTTGGAGACCTCAGCATGAACATGTGAAAGTAAAAATACTACTAACAGGAAATCCTTAAGCAGGTATCTGAATTACACAGCTAACTTGAGTCTTACAGAATTTAAAAATCAAAGTTCAAAAGTAGCAAAATGCTGCTGAAAATTAACATTATTCTGTTCATAATTAAGTTTTCTACAGCAATAAGAAGCAGCAATCAATTAATCATAAATAGCAGTCTTTTTTAAGATGATTTTTTGTATGTGTGATCTTCCTTTAAAAGTATTTTTTTTTCTCAGTTTGGAAGGCTGAACTGGAACCAAAAAGGTACTTCTAACATGAAATTAAAGTACCTGCCTAGATAGTGAGGATAGCTTATTGAACTTAAATTCATTTTCTAACTTAATTCATAATAGTTTTCTCCCTGAAACAAGCCCTCAGATTTGCAGGTCTTTATTTATACTTTAGAGGAATTCCTAGGATGAAGATGGGATTCCTTACTGATTTTGGCATTTTCCTGTGTCAATCTTCTAAGAGAATTGCTGAGTGTGCTCTCAGAAGCAGGGCTCTCTGTCATCACTACTCTGCATACCTGGTATGTATGCTTGGAATTATTATACTTGGTTGTGTGGGTTACAGGAGTAATTCACCTCAAGGACAAGACCACTACTGAGTGAAGATGACAATATAGATGACTGTTTATATAGGCGACTATAAGTTGTAGACTTAGACAACCGAGGCATTTCTTAAAGTTTGGCAGCTGCCTTATGTTCTACAGAACACCTTTGTAATGCGCACTAAGGCAGTCATTGCTCCTAAAGCACGCCACTGTTTGTGTCCATGAACAAAGATCATTCCCATCATTCCTCTTTGTGGTAATAGCCAGCTGAATTTGTTGAACTTTTTAGGATAATTTCTGAGCTTTCTGAGACTAAAGATCTGGACTAGGAGAGGTTGTTTCTGAGGGCATGAGCCCTGAGAATTTCAGAATTAAATTTTAGAGTTATATTTCAGTAACATTTTTAAGTCTAATTTTTCATGTTTGATAACTAGGCATTTGTAAGAAATGTAGGTACAGTAAGATGAATTTGGGGAGAGGTCTGTAAACATTTTGGAATGATAGGATTGCTTTATTAATTCAAATTAAAATATTGTAATGATCCTTTTAACACTAGAATTCTCATTGAGAGATGCCACAGTGGCAGTAGCTAATCACAAAATCACAGAATTGTAGGGTTGGAAGGGACCTTGAGAGATCATCTGGTCCAACCCCCCTGCCAAAGCGGGTTCCCTAGAGAAAGTTGCCCAGATAGGCATCCAGATGGGTCTTGAATATGTCCAGAGAAAAAGACTCCACAACCTTCCCAGGCAGCCTGTTCCAGTGCTCTGTCACCCTCATCATGAAGAAGTTCTTTCTCATATTGTTGTGGAACTTCATGTGCTCCACTTTGGGGCCATTGCCCCTTGCCCTGTCCCCACACACTACTGAAAAGAGGTTGGCCATATCCCCTTGTCTCCCACAATACAGGTATTTATAAACATTGATAAGATCAGTGTAATCAAGATCAGTCTTCTTTTCTCAAGGCTGAACAGACCCAGGTCTCTCAGCCTTTCCTCACACGGGAGATGCTCCAGGCCCCGTATCGTCTTTGTGGCTTGCTGCTGGACTCTTTCCAGGAGATCCCTGTCTTTTTTTTTGTACTGGGGCACCCGGAACTGGACACAGTACTCCAGGTGAGGCCTGACCAGGGCAGAGTAGAGAGGGAGGGTCTTGTCCCTTGACCTGCTGGCCACGCTCCTTTTTATGCACACCCGGATGCCATTGGCCTTCTTGGCCACCAGGGCATAGTGCTGGCTCATGGCCAAACTGTTGTCCGCCAGGACCCTCGAGTCCTTCTCCGCAGAGCTCCTCTCCAGCAGGTCGTTCCCCAGCCTGTAGTGTTACATGCAGTTGTTCCTTCCCAGGTGCAGGACACTGCATTTGCTTTGTTAAATCTCATTTGCCGATTCTGAAGTAATTTCTCTTAGCCATCATTATGTAAGGCTTTCCAGCAGTGACTTGGCTGCGTAAGTATTCATAAGGGAAAATTTGGTTAGAAGTTCCTTTAATGAGAACATTTTAACACAATCAAATTAATGTAATATATGATCTACAGATAGAGTTCACTGTCAGGGCATGTAGTGAAAAGTTTGGTGATGAGCTTTGTACCTTTATGTATATAAGAAGGAATTCTTCACAAAAAAAAACCGTGAGCTTTCTAAAATCAATTGGTGTGTTATTTTATTTTATTTTATTTTATTTTATTTTATTTTATTTTATTTTATTTTATTTTATTTTATTTTATTTTTTTCATTTCAGGCATGTGATTAAAAAAAAAAAACAACAAGAACAAAAATATGTAAAAAACAATCTAATTACTTTTTCCATATCATGGGTAAGGAGTTGATGTGTTACTATAATGAATTATAAAATTACAATTGAAATATTAACTTCATGAGTATGTCAGGTCTTTCTATAGAGCTTATTTTGTATAAGATTAATTTGTATTAAGTTGAATATTTATGCATAATTACTGGTAATAGTAATACTACAAGTCTTTTTTGCTAGAGTTGGATAGTTGCAATTTATTAATTTACTTTGGAAATATTATGCATCCAGGATGTCTTCTGTATGCTTAAATTTATATTTATTTATATTTATAGATCTTTTATATTTTCATATATTTCTTATATCTTTTCATATATTTTTCAAAGGACAAATATGTATTTGAGTGTGGTGTAGTGATCTTTAATCTAATCAGTTCAAGAGCTCTCTTGGAATATGCTTTCAACTTGTTTTTGTATGTTAGTAATGGTGGAAAGCTGAAAAATGTAGCTGTGTATTTCTATTAAATGTACAATTTTGTCTTTTTGTAGTTGTTGTCCAATTATGTATAAAATTAATAATAATTATTAAAAATATAGTTAATAGCTACAAGTCTTTTTGATGACCCCATCAAAAAGAGTGAATTTATCAGCTTCCAGAAACTTCCAGAAACTTCCAGAAGTAAGGTCTTTTTCATTCTGGAATGAATTTAGAATTCATAATCCCATTGAAATGGGACAACTTTTGCAGACAAATTGCCTTGGGATGGAAGGACAGGAAATTAATTTGACCATGAAACTCTGATGTAAAAACATCAACCAGACGAAGAGAAAAGGGGAATTTTTCTCCAGCATGAAGAAATGTATAATTGAACTTCAGAACTTGATGTTATCATCTGACAGAAAAGTGATCTTTAACATAGAGATTAGACAGCAAATCAACCAAACCCATCTGTTATGACATTTGGCTTCCTTGAGAACCATATTCTCCACAAGTTCACAGAACTGGCTAAAGTACCAAGCATGAAATATATTATGAGTAAAACACATGAATATTGTTATAATCACTGGACTATTTGCAGAAAAGTAACTTGAAAACTTTATTAACATACTTACTGCTGACAACAATACTTTTAGGATAATTAATAAATGTAGTCTTGTGAACAACAGCAATTACCAACAGATGGACAGTTACTTAAAAAAAATATTGTGTTGGAAGCTTTAGGGGACATTATAGTTGCACTGTTTTACTGTAGTATATTTAGTTTTGTACTACTTTGTATATATCTGATGTAATATGTGTGCCATTAATTTCTAATTATGAAAATTGCATAAGAGACTTTCAAGTTATGTGAATAAGTCATTTCAGAAACCGTTTTTCTGAATTTAGTTAAAGATGGTCCAGACTAGGATGAATTCAGACTATATCACCATCTGTAAAAGATCTTTAGTCTGATGAATTTCTTGGTCTTTAAGACATTTGTCTCTCTTTAGAGAATAATGATATTTGATTTCTAAAAACAAGGCTTTATTTTTTCTCTTCCTCTCTCTCTCTCTCTTTTTTTTTTTATATCAGATATAAAAAGAGAAGCTTTGGGGAGGATTTAGCACATTACTTTACAATAAGATTTTTTTTTTTTTAACTGCAATTTGATATTCTGGGAATTCTATGGAGAAAAACAGTTTCTTCTCATCCTGCAAACATATTTTAACATGTTTAGCAGTGCACACATGGGTGGTCACTCTGTGTGCAAAGCTAAGCAAATGAGAAAATATTTGCTTAATTGGAAACAATAACTAAGAAAATTGACTTTCAATGTTATATAAATGGCTATAATGCCTATAAATGGTTATATAAACTATCTAAGAAAAGCTCTTAGGTGGTACACAGTTTTTAGAGTCTTGGCCTGCAGGTGGATATCCATGCAATGGGAAGAGTAGATAATTATTCTGTAAAAGGCATGTAAGAGTGGCAATATCACCAAAGAACTCCAGTTCCCACAAATTGACCTGCAATGCAGAGTACAAGCCTAACACCTTGAACCAGTCTCAGTCCTAAGAAAATAAAACAGCACCTCTTCTGCAGACACAGGTATCATGAACAGCACGGAGGCAGTGGCTGAGACAACAACGTGCATCCAGGGGCAGGGTGAGGGCTACCGCGGCACAGTCAACACCATATGGAGTGGGATCCAGTGCCAAAGGTGGGACTCTCAGTTTCCTCACCAGCACAACATCACTCCTGAGAACTTCAAGTGCAAGTGAGTAGACATAGGCAGGTGTTACTGCTGTAGGCAAAGACCAGTTCTTGTTGTTTTTAAACTTCATGCCACCAAAGTAGGCTGTGGAATCCCTGTCCCTCACTGCAGTGGGATGAATTTACTTTGCTTGCTAGAAATCTTTTGAATATGGGAAAATCAATTCTTCCTATACCAAAATACTGTTTCTAAATGAATTTGTGTGAAACTGTAGTTTCTAAATGCATTTGTCTGAAAATGTAGTTTTGTTTGTTTATTTGTTTTTAATAAACATTATCATCAAGCTTGTGTTTAATTGATTATTAAGTGTATGGGTGTTTCCCAGGGTGGGACCAGAATCCCAGCAGTGCTCATACATTACTATTGTTTTTCTTTTATGGAGATAAGTACTTGTTTGCAGCTTGGTTACTGAATTTAACTTAATGTGCCCTAAATGCTACCTAAATATAATCTCACTGGCAATACTTGGCATTTATAAGATTTGATGATACTTCTTTTATTTTCTGTGATTTTAATCATTTTTCTGTCTCCTAACTAAATGTATTTACACGAATAAGCCTGATTTTACCTGAAGGACCATCTAAACTTTCTGAACAGTTACCAAAAAGTGAGATACATTTCTAGCATATGAATTATCTACTTATTTTAAGAAGTTACCTTGATCACACTCATTCAGTCCTTTTTCTAATGAGTGTAGAGAAAACCAAGCCAACCAGCATGGACTTAAAGCTCAGTTTACATGAAATATCTTTATTGACAGCTAAATATCAGTCTGGACTTCTGCTGGGATTCAATAGTGTGGATCTTGCAAAGTAAAGAAAAGATTCCAGTTTCAACTCAGATTTACTCTTTACCAATAGTTTGTTTAAGCAAAACAAATATTGAGAACAGTAACACTTCTACTGAAAATATGACAATAATCATTCTATTAGAAAATAGGACTGACACTAAACCTTGAATTGAATCTTGAATTTACCCATAAATTAGTGCTTGAGCCCAAACCCACAGGTGTTTCTCAGACAATTAATCATTGCTTAAATCATTTCGTGCTGTACCTATACAACACTGCTGCAGGATTAGGCCCTAAAGGTTAAAACCCACAAAGGTTTTTAGAATTTCCCTAGTAGTGTAGAGTGTTGTTTAGGCCAGTATCTTGAGTTAAATCAATAAAAACACTTGTATGAATGTTCAAAACGCAGAGTAAGAATTACAGCACTAGGACACTTCTTTCCATAGTCTATTATCAGTAAGTGCTGCAGATGGAAAAATGTAGTGAAATACAGCATTGCACAGTACATGGCAACAACTGTCAGGAGATGGGAAAATAAAAGTTACATTGAAGAGGCTTGACTATTTAATTCAAGCTGCAAGACACATTTAAAATGTTCCCTTGTGGCCAACTTTTATTTTAAATGTAACAGCTGTATAGAATTTCGACATACATTTTTTCATATTCCAAGATTCAGTTTCTTAAATGAATCACTGACAATCTTTAGGACTTTGTTTCTCTAAGCTCAGCAGAACCACTCAAGTACAGGGAATTTTAAGCACTGTGGTAATGTTTGTATTTAAAAGCACTTGTAATGGATTGCAGGTGTATCCAATGTCAGCTTGCATGCAAATTTTGATGGAGAATCCTGAATAAAAATAAACTATATCGAGAATATTATTAATCTTCAAATGAGATCTTATAGCCAGTCAAAACACGAGTCCACTAAAAACGAATTCCCATAACCATATTCTCATTACAATTACAGTATTTTCTGGACACTGTATTCTTACTGGCTCCTCACCTCCCTGCACTTGACAATGATCAGTAACACATAGACCTTAAGGAGCCTATATTATTACTTATTCATAATAAAAAGCAATAGAATGCATCAGTGGTTTTAGGTGTTCCCTGCTGTGAGCTAATATATTTATTTTTATAGGGATTTGAGGGAGAACTACTGCCGAAATCCAGATGGATCTGAATCACCCTGGTGTTTTACTACTGACCCAAACATCCGGATTGGTTATTGCTCCCAGATTCCTAAGTGTGATGTATCAAATGAACAAGGTAACAGAAAGAAAGGTGATAACGTGACTTTAAGTGAATGCTGTACTCTTCCAAATAGCACATAGGCAGGCATGAAAACTGAAGATATCGATCTCAGTACATCTGCATTACACCTGTGTAGTTCTGTTTTTGTGTTATTTGCATACTTGGGATTCATCATGGTGTAAATGAGATTCATTTCTCAGTTCATGTGTTAATTCCAGCAAGAAAAGCTGTAGTAAAGGTTTACTATGGGGTCTGATTTTTAGACAAGGTGAATCTCCACTCCGCTACCTTTCTTAATTTGAAAGGCCTTTCCCAAAACTGAGTTATTTCCTGCAATTTCTTGGTTTACAGTCTTTCTATAACTGCAAATGAGGCCACCAAATGTGGTCTATTATTCATATATCCCCTTGACTAAAAGGGCTTAAACTGAAACAAACAAACATACAAACAAAAAAACATACAAACAAAAAAAAAAAAAAAAAAAAACATAGGAGTTCCCTTTTCTCTTTAAATTATTACCTCTGTCTGTAAAGTCCACAGACACTCCCTAGAGTCATTCCTCAGTCTTGGTCTTGGTATTACTCTAGGGAGTATTACTGCCCACCGAGAACTTATGTCAATCATACCATAAACTGAGGCTTAGTCCTGCAACCTATTACCCAACTTCAGTGTATAAGATCTTCATCTGAATTTTAGCTAATTTATCTCTTAAGACATAAGGACTTGCAGTTACAAGAGTTCTGTCAGAGCAAGGATTACATTTTGATTTTTTTTTTTAAAATTAAAGTATCAATTATCAAAAAGTAAAAATACTGATGAATATGAAATGAAATGCTTTATACAAAAAGTCTTTAGAGTAATGATCATTTTAAATAAGCCTCTTGAAAAGTCTCAGAAACACTTGGGATAAAAGCATGAATTAAACATGACTTCTACTAGAGTGAACAGGCAAGTTTTCAAATTATATTAAAATTAAAGCCATGTTGATTTTTTTGATTTTGCCAAAATAGAACTTAAATCAAGAATTTAAAAATGTAACCAGTATCCAGAGTCTGCATGTAGTTAGGCTGTTGAAGGTAGGCTGACAGAGAGGAGGGAGGGAAGAGGAAGGATGGAGGTTTGTATAAAAAAGTTGCGGACAAATTTTAGAATATTTGGTGTGACCATTCTAAATTAACCATAAAGTAACTATTTATGAAATAAATTGTCCCACTTTATCTCAGTAAGACAAAAATGCTACTGTGCTGAGAACGGAGGTCTCAAGCAGGGGATTATGTATCTAAATTTGAAAACTTTCTCATTTTTTTCTGATTTACATTATGATTTAATTTATATTGATGCCTGATTTATATCATATAGTCTTTACTAAATACAAAACTTGTTTTTAATTATTTGGATTACTGATGGAAAGGAAGAGTTTTCTCTTTAGTGCTGCACAATCACCCTCCACTTTTCTTTGTCTCAACATGTCTTATTCAGATTGCTATCGTGGCAATGGCAAGAGTTACATGGGAAATCTATCCAAGACAAGATTTGGGCTAACTTGTTCCACATGGGACAAGAATATTGAAGACTTACGTAGGTGAGTGCATATGAAATAGACAATAGATTGTTCAGTGAGTCCTGAATAAATACTACCTCCAGACGGCATCTGTTTTTTCTGCAGTGATTCTAACATAGACACTTATACCCTGGAGATCTTAGCAATCCTTTCTTCTTTCCTTTCCTTTCCTTTCCTTTCCTTTCCTTTCCGGGTCCTTTGCTTTGATGGAAGGGAATGGCGCTTTCCTTTCCTTTCCTTTCCTTTCCTTTCTTCCTTCCTTTCCTTCCTTTCATGGCCTTTCCTTTCCTTTCTTTCCTTCCTTTTCCTTTCCTTTCCTTTCCTTTCCTTTCCTTTCCTTTCCTTTCCTTTCCTTTCCTTTTCCTTCTTTCTCTTTCAGTGTTCAAATATATTACACAACATGTGTTTATTCAGACTAACCACTAATTGCAGGCTTCAGCATTTTACTTAGTGTTTAGTTAACTGGTCTGGTTTGCCCCATCTTTTTCCTTAAGTGTTTTTTGGTGGTGGTGGTGTTTTTCCACCACCATAAGATGGTAAGAAATGAAGCAGGAAATGGTTATGTTACATTTGCTTAATATTTATATTTGCCGTTTTCAAAGTTCTGAACAACATAAATTCCCGAACAACTTGATCTTTTCTCTTAGCTCATCTTGCTTCAAGCATGACTTGGACTTGAAACCTCCTGTGGTCCCATGCAAACTGAATTTGAATCACAGGTCTATGATCTAATGACATTGACATCAAATGTCATTAAAGTAAATTGCAGTTTCTATTGTGTTTTGTTGCTTTGGTTTCTTTTTCAAGGAGTGAAAATATCAATTTTTTTTTGCTTTACTTGTTCAGGTAAAAATGAATCAGCAGAAAGTACAAAAGGAGCTGTGAGTTTCTAAGACTTTTCAATCATGCTAGAATCATCAGTGTTGTCTCTGTTCAGAAGGGTAGACTTACAAATTTCAGGAGTAACAGGAACAAAGTAAATCAGTAAGTCAGTCTCCAGAGAAGCTGTATTACAGAAGGCAGACTTCAGTGGCATTGTCTAGAATCACCAGCTGGACTATGTGTGGTTTCCCCTACACAGAGTTAGAAACAGAATATGTATTCCAGTCTACTGTCTATCTAAGGAAGGCAGAGGTTTAAGGTCAGGACTTCTGAGAGTTCAGAGAATTCTTCAGTTAGATATGAATGAGTTAGCTTGAACCTTGTACCAACTAGATGCCTGATGCGATTACATTCACATCATCCTGAGGACAGATCTGCCTTCCTTCTCTTACTGTCACTAATTTTCTATCTGGGGAGGTATTTGTTGCAGTTCAGCAGTTACTCTGGTTTTGTTTTGGGTGTGCTAGAAGCAACTTGCATGGTCAGTTATTAACTATGAGGGAAGCACAACTGTAACTTAAGAAACCTGTACGCTCCTGTCTGAAAAACCAGAAATAAACATCTTTCTCTGCTTCAGATTGTCACCTCAGACTTTCACCTTTAGTTAAGTGCTTCAAAAGCAGCTTAGGTTGCTTTTCACTGTAGTTTGAGACATTCAAATTTTTCTTTTCCTGTTGCTTAACTTTCTTGCATTTGTCTTTCCTTTCCTAAAATTCAACGTTCTTCTGTGATGATTCAGTGCTCCCTTCTGTTAACTGTAAACATGCAGGGAGAAGATAACCTGTGTTCCCAGAACAGGCCTGAATGCAGCATAAACACTCTTCTAATCAGTTTAAAGATCCCTCCTGAGGATATCCAGGGTTTTTAGCTCAAGTGAGAGAGATCTAGAAACCTTCCAGCAAGTCCACTCATTGCTTAAAATACCAACCAGAGGAAAATTGGACAAAGATCCAGTGAATATTTGTGACTCAACTTCATTTTGATTTTAACCAGCCCTAAACACTGACCTGTAGGCTTCTCAATCAGCTAATATTACAGTGTGGGACAAAGCAATATTTAACCTCTGAAAATTTGGGCTATAGTATAAAGCTTTTCAACACTTTGATTTTTTTTCCCTGTAGGCATATACAAATTTTCAGAGAACCAGATGTTAGTAAACTGAAGAAAAACTATTGCCGCAATCCAGATGATGATTTTCATGGTCCCTGGTGTTACACAGATGATCCTCTCATTCCCTGGGATTACTGCCCTATTTCTCGATGTGAGTACTTGGTATGCCTCAGGCATTGTCAATTGTGCAGTCTCAGTGAAACCATGGTGTCACTGTATACCTTTCTGTTGTCACTTGTGGCAACAGAAAATGTATAATTATATCAAGAACCAATTGCATACGACTAAGAAGGAATGGAGAGAAGCTACTTGTGCAATGTATAAACAGGAGGTCTTTATCCTTGACCAGTTTGGAGTTTTCAGGGCTTATTTATGCAGCAGGAGCTTAAAAGGGCTATTACAAATAGTCAAGCATATTCCAGCAGATCTAGCTATTGAATGAGGGCTGGATGGAAACAAAGAATTGTCTAGTGGTTAGAATGCAGGCTGTGGCCTTAAGAAACCCAGGGACAGCTATCTTTTGTGGCATGAGCTTCATGGTTTGTTTGTGTGTTCTGTATTTATAAAGTGAGGATAACTCACTATGTGCATGATGATGTGTATATGTGCTATATAGATTAGATCCTGCTTTTGGATGTTTGTGGGATGATTTAACTCCTGGAAAGAATTAAGAAAATCACTCCTTTAAAGTTGCATGTTATAAAGCTAAATAACTCAACTATACAGAATTAAAAGTCTTAGAGAATTCAGTAATAAACTGAAGGTAGGTGGAAAAAATACATTAATGCTGAAAAAAAGATGTACAATTCAAATTTAGGTTGAAGATTTTTCTCGTTAATTCCTATTGCTAAATCATAGTGGTATATATCCTTGGAGAACATTTGAATGATAAATCAGGCTTTTGAATGTATGTCTGTGATCTCTAGAGGTTGAGGATAATGTTAAATTCATTCCTAGCAGTAATTCACAGCATTTCCTCATAGTCTGAACTGCAGTATTTCTATGAGGTGATATTAGAAATCTCAGGTGATTTTTTTTGGCATCTATGTGATTAGTAAACAAAATGTGCAAATGTCAATGTAGATAAAGAACAATAACTGACTGAATATAAATTTTATTTACTCTTAGTTAATTCTATCAATTCCAAAGGAAAAATTCACAAAATATTTTTGTCATGTTTGTACTGTAGGTAATGGTTAGTATTGTGATGACTGGATTCTAATGCTGGAATATGTCTGTTTTAGAATTGCAACTTGTGTGGGCCAGTGTTAAACTACTAATAGCTTATTCATGTACTGGTAACCAGTTTAACCAGTATGAACAAAATGTTGGCAGTTACCAAGTGTACTTGGTGTCTTTAACTGATCTGTTTAAACTTTGCATACTTACATATACATATTCATACACATACGTATACACATATACATATTCATATTCATATGCATATATATATACACATAACTTTAACTATATATAGTTGAAATCTATATCCATATATATATCTTTACACACATTTATATATTTGGGTAATGACAGAAATCTAGTTAGATAAGACAGTTTAAATTTTGCTCACACAAATTTTCACTAACTACATCCATACATCAAGCTCATATCACTAGGCCACACTTCAGACTTTATGGAAAGCAAAAATTTTGAAGACAGTTTAAGCAACCTTATTTTAACTTCATAATGACTTAGACTAGATGGAAGAACAAATCCAGTTTTGGGGAATACAATTTAATAAAGATAAGTTTTTTGTGATAGCAACATATAGTGGGATTTTTTTTAAGTTTCAAAGACTTCTAAGGAAATTAGAAAATTTCTTTAAAGTTGATCTATGTTTAATGACATGACTTCTACTGTTCCTGTATGCTTACAGAAAAAAGACTATTTAATTTTTCTGCCTTGTCTTGCTTAAATAAAATGTGGAAATTGAGCATTTCGGAGAGCCTGATGTATTCAAGATTCAGCCAAGATGAGAAATCCTTAAAACAACTGTTACAAAATGTTTAATTCTTATTTTTATTGGTATAAAATTCTTCCATCCTATTTAACCTGACCAAACTGGTTTTACAGAATGATATCACTGAAAATTTAAACTTCATGAAATATTAAAATTAACTATGTATTTTTCTGTTTATTTTGACTGTGTTCAGGTTTTAGACTTGTTTTAATTTTGTATTGTGTGTTCATCTTATGTGTCTGTCTAGGCGAAGGTGATACAACTCCTACTACAACCAGTGTGGATGGTAAGTTTGCAGATGTCCTGTGCCCTGGCATGCATTATATCCTACAAGACTAGACATTTCTTTCTGACTGAGAAGGAAGAAAAAGATCAATTAAGGGTACAAAATATACAGCTTGGGAAAGAAACATAAATAAATAAATAAAAGGCAAATGTAGAATAGCTTTACTATACTTTTTATTCTCATATTCCTATCTCGTAAGTGGTGAGATATAGTAATGACTTTTAATGTTTATTTTATAAATATAGAATTGTTTGTAATAAACTTAAAAATGTGTATTTTATATTCCCTACAAATCTCTCTATAGAGTCAACCAGCTTCACTGAAGTAGTCTTGATACTTTAGAAATATATTTCATTAGCTCAGGAAAGAACACCATACCCATGATAAATATTGACCTTCTTGTGGTCCTTATGTGTAACTGTACAGGTTTCCTACCGCTGTTTTTAGTAAAATGTGATCTCTGGACCTGCTTTCAGATACTGTCATTCCTTGTGCCTCAACAAAACATTTGAGAGTTGTAAATGGAATCCCAACTCAAACTAACGAAGGATGGGTGGTTAGTTTGACATACAGGTAATTATCACTTTGATAAGAAGGACAAAACATCTAATAGGATATTTGTTTTGGAACTATAGAAAAAGTTGATTGTAGTAAGGATATTTGTAGTTATTTACAGTTAAATCCTGTAAAAGAAGGAAATCAGCATTCCTGGAACATCTGCTGTTTCTATAGCTTTCAGTCCATCAATGAAACAGTTATATGTTAGTTATTGCGAACTTGCTTCTAAAGCATACACAGCATTCTAGTCTTTGGATTCTTTAGATCAGCTACTGCAGATCTTTTCATCATTCCCTTAACACCCTGACATAAGCTGTTTACTTTACAGATTGAAGAAAATTGAGGTTCATGTCAATATCTGTATTTTAATACCAGTGCATTTAGATATGAAGTATTAGATTCAGGATATACACCCTTGCTTAATTTAGCTTTCTGCTCATAAAACTGCATGAAACTGAAATGTATTTTGTATTAAAAAATAAGTAGGAGCTATAAGGAAATTTCTTTCACTCTGTAAATCAAGACCCTAACATGTACATCTCGAAATGTGTATTAAATTATGGCAGATCTTAGTTTGCTACTGTGTAAAAGCCAGAACACAGAGTTACTGCCTCTTGTGTTCATTACTCTTTGGTTAATAACTCATCAGCTAGAAGTATGAATCATAAATGGATAGCAGGAAATAGATCTCAAGGATCTTTTTTTTTTTTTTTTTTTTTTTTTGGTCATCTAGTACAGATTACAGTACAGTTTATTACTATTAGCTTATGTCATCCCTTTTAAAAACATGTTTTAACTTAACTAATACTTTCAGGCTAAAGAAAAGACAAAAAGTATATTTTCTATATTTCTTCATTGCTAGAGAAATGCTGGGAGTCCTCCTCATCTTTGTCAATGTTCCATTCTCATGGGCTCATATCGTAGTGGTCTATATCTTTCTAAAAGTTTAGCAGATGGACAGGAAATAAATTTCTAGAGGAACATCGTTCTATTCCTGGACTAAATAAACATATAGAGGGACTGAAATGCTGAATCACCCTGGAAAAGTTTATCTTGCCACTGTTTTTAAAACAGCCTTGATGGCCGATGAACTTTTAGACAAGAAAGGTGAATTACATCTGAGTACCTAAAATGTAAATAGCTGAAGATAAGCAAATTGACCCTAGGTTATGTGCTATGTTACAGAATTCCATTAAGTAAATGAGTTCATAAATGACTGAAGATTTTTTTTTGTTTGTTTGTTTGTTTCTGTTTGTTTGTTTAAAAAAAAGGGATTCCTAAAATACTGCAGATGCAAAATATATTTTTAAGTATTATATAAGTCTAACATGTAGGTAAAAAAATGTACTTATACTTTATATTGTTACCAGGCAAGCAGATAGACTTTTTTCTGAAACAAAATCTTAATGACTCCAATTTTTTCTTGGAGGGGTAGAGGGTTCATAAATGATTCTATAATCTAACATTTATTCTGAAAAAGTCTAACTATAACTAACACTTCTCAAAATAGAAGTGCTGTGTCTGAATGGTAAAGTCCTAGTGCTGCTTACAAACTTGTATATCTGCAATCAATGCCCACTTATAAAATTAATTAATTAAATTAATCAATGACATACTTTCCTATACGTATGATCCAGATTCTGTATATTTAAATATATTTGGAGGAATTTCATCCATTCCAGGAAATCAGCTTTGGATTTTGTGCTACATTTAAATAAGAAGTATAACCATCATCTGTCTACTTGTCAGTCTGGTAAAGCAGAAGATGAAATCTTGTAAAGTTCATAGAATCATAGAATCGTAGAATATCCTGAGTTGGAAGGGACCCTTAAGGATCATCAAGTCCAACTCTTGACACCTCACAGGTCTACCCAAAAGTTCAGACCATGTGACTAAGCGCACAGTCCAATCTCTTCTTAAATTCAGTCAGGCTCGGTGCAGTGACCACTTCCCTGGGGAGCCTGTTCCAGTGTGCAACCACTCTCTCTGTGAAGAACCCCCTCCTGATGTCAAGCCTAAACTTCCCCTGCCTCAGCTTAACCCCGTTCCCGCGGGTCCTGTCGCTGGTGTTAATGGAGAAAAGGTCTCCTGCCTCTCGACACCCCCTTACGAGGAAGTTGTAGACTGCAATGAGGTCTCCCCTCAGCCTCCTCTTCTCCAGGCTGAACAGGCCCAGTGCCCTCAGCCGTTCCTCGTACGTCTTCCCCTCCAGGCCTTTCACTATCTTCGTAGCCCTCCTCTGGACACTCTCCAACAGTTTCATGTCCTTTTTATACTGCGGTGCCCAGAACTGCACACAGTACTCGAGGTGAGGCCGCACCAGCGCAGAGTAGAGCGGGACAATCACCTCCCTCGACCTACTAGCGATGCCGTGCTTGATGCACCCTAGGACACGGTTGGCCCTCCTGGCTGCCAGGGCACACTGCCAGCTCATATTCGACTTGCTGTCTACCACGACCCCCAGATCCCTCTCTTCTAGGCTGCTCTCCAGCGTCTCATCGCCCAGTCTGTACGTGCAGCCAGGGTTTCCCCGTCCCAGGTGCAGGACCCGGCACTTGCTCTTACTGAACTTCATGCGGAGTTGCATTGATAAATAATGATATACATGTATACGTGAAAGAACCACATTTATGTTCCTTTTTGTGACATTTTTATAGTAAAACTGGACAGAATCAAGATTTTATAGACCCCAGCCTCTGCGACCAGACAGTCTGTTCCTCAACCAAAATACAACCTAAAATAATAATAAAATAATAACAAAAATGACCCCCAAAAATAAAACAAAATGAAAACAAACAAACAACAACAAACAACAAAAATCAAAAAACACAAAATAGGAAAGCATCTGTGTTATTCTGCTTTCTTTAAACTCTATACAGAGACTGGACTTCTTCCAACAATTCCTGTAAAGCTGTGAACATTTGTGTGATTTGAATTTATAATTTGTAAGATTTCAAGCTTCTCCCAAATTGCTAACAATTTTATTCTCTTTCCAAAGAGCTGTAGAAAATAAATGTGATTTTAGAGGCACAAAGAAGGAAACTAATTAATTTGCATTCCAATGTCAGCTTTATTTTTGAAGAAAATGTCATGTTTTATTGTTTTAATTTTACTTGATGTATTATACTGCAGGTTTTCTATAATCATGTGTAGGATGTCATACATTGCAGATTGCTTCCAACTGAAGCATGTGGGAATGGAAATCTCATAGGACTGGTAATCAAATAGTAACTCTCTACCTTAAGGTCAATGCTTTGAATAATACTTACTTGAAAAATGTTGTTTACATCTGTTGGCAGTTTGGGGTGTTGATTGAATGTTTCAGTCCAGTTCCTATTACAAAGAAGTCCACTTCTTATTATTTATTTCATTTTATTCTATTTTATTTTATTTATTTATTTATTTTTAAAGATAGCTCTCTTAATTTAAATCCATCTGTGAAAACACTAAATAAATAAAGTAAATGATTTTCTCTTTCTTCCTGGTTTATAAAAACTGAATCAAACCTGGAAAGTCATGCATGTATTCAAAATGTATAGCAAATGGACAGTGAAATGTTTTCACAGGCTGTCATCCAGCCACCTTTCCCTACACCTGAGGAATACATAAATGAAAGCTGACAACAACACTCTTTAGAGATTTTGTCCAGGTAGAAAGAAAAATATAAATATATATATAATTTATTTATTTATTTTTCAGGAATAAGCATATCTGTGGAGGTACTTTGATAAAGGAAGAGTGGGTTCTAACAGCAAGACAGTGTTTCCCTTCTCGGTACAGTAGTCTGTAGTTCTGCAATATTGAAATATATGTATCTTCTGTTATTTAAAAGCACAACCATTCCTTAAATTAAATGGAACAGTTTTCACTCCTTTTTGGCTTTAACACTACTCACCTGATATAAAAATTCCTGTGGGACATTTGCCATTTTCTGGTTTTATTATTGTTAAGCTAAAACTTTATTTTACATAGAGGTATGAATGTTTTCCAAGTGTAAGAGTTACACAATAGCCTCTTTATGAAAATAATCCCGTGCTTCTGCTGAACTAGACACAATAAAATAGAATTCTTAAGCAAATCTTGAAAAGTTTCAAGGTCCATAATTTCCAAGCCTCTAGATGTTCGGATACTAGTAGAAAACAAAAATTACATTTTAGTCATGGTTAACAATAAAATTATGTAGTAACTTTAGACCAAAAGCATACGTTTGAGCATGTTGATTTTGCAGTAACAATTGGCATTGTAGAACCACTTTTAGTGAAGACTGTTAGTTAAGATCTTCTGGTACAATCATAGTAAGCTGAAATTTTTGAGTTATTCTGTTATACATTCAGCAAAATTCTAACCAGCTTTGCCTACTTTAGGTACAAAGATTTGAAAGACTACAAAGCCTGGCTTGGAGTCCATAATATCAAAGGAAAAGGAGAGGAGAAGCATAGACAAGTTCTGAATATCTCTCAGCTGGTATATGGTCCTGCAGGGTCAGATTTGGTCTTGCTGAAACTTAGCAGGTTAGTAGCTACTACTGCTAATTCCAGGATTTTCAGCTACTGTCTGAAATTCTTCATTGCAAATTCAGTTCTGTACAGTTATGGTATTGCAGATGAAATCTCTAAAGTTTAAACTTCTAATAGTAAGATGTTCTTGTCAGTTGTTCCTGGGCACATAAAGAAATGATATATTAAGTGGATGGATTTCACTTCATATATGCAAATATTAATATTTATTCACTTTACTCAGAACAGATGTTACTTCTGAAATATAGTGCCTAAATACTTTTTTCCCCGATAACCAGGTTTAATTTACAGTGCGTTGTATATATATGTGTATATATATATATATATATATATATATATATATACACACTCATTGGCTAGTATATGCTTTTCATTTATAGAATAAGCAGCAGATAGCAACTAAGATATCTGTGTACATATAAGCTTTCAAACTTTCTCTGTATTAACAAAACTATATATCCAAATGAAATTTCATCATTACTTACTTTTGAAGATGAAAACCCAAGTTAAATAGTGTAAAAGTAGTGACAGAATTTCAAGAAATTTTTTGACAGTTCACAGCTGTAACACAAAAAATAGGTAAAAGAATCCATCATATTCTTCAAAGAAGGAAGAGAGAGGGAGAGAGGTAAAGAATTGGCACAGTTTTTAACTGATTATAGAATGTGAAGTAAAATTCCTTACGTCTGTTGTTCATTTTCTCTTTTCAGACCTGCCATATTGACAACTTTTGTAGAAATAATTCGATTGCCCATTTCTGGATGTACCATTCCAGAGAAGACCAGTTGCAGTGTTTATGGATGGGGATACACTGGATGTAAGAGACTATTTTTAAAAACTAAATGAAAACATTGACAGCTAACTTCCTTCCTCTTGTTATCATAGGTGAGGCTGGTGATATTGCCTCATGCCATGCTTGTCCAACACTTTTTATTATAAAATGCAGTTTCAACTTTTTTAAAAATTTATTTTGTTTTGTAAACATTTAAAACTTTGAGCATTTTATTTAAGATAATTTCATTTGAAATATTTTCTACCCCATCTTTTATTTATTTTTTTCCTCCAAAGACTGGCAAAATGATTCAAATGCTTCAAAGAACAAACTATAAAAATTTTGTTTTACATGTTTGAAAAATCTGTCAGAATTGTTTTGAAGAGTTCTAACTCTTTTTTGAAAAATTCTCATTCATCTACTTGAGCACCTTTTTTCTATATGCCAAAGCAGGCCACCCTGTGGAAAAATTAATACAGGATAATGTAATCAAAGACATTATTATAATTAACGTACACAAAGACAGTATATTAAGGATACACAGGCAGCCCTCTCTGGCATTTCCTAACTTTTGAGTACTTGACTCTGCAGCCTTACTGATGTTCATTAAGCACAGTTTTTTGTGTGAAGTAAATACAAATATGTGACAGAACAGACAGTTACTTAGTCTGGTAAATACTCTATCTGTCTAATGATGTGTTGATGATAAAGTTAATAGTTGCCAGTTGACAGTAATTATTGCAATAATTACTGTGCTCAAATGTTATTTTGCCACAGACCTTGAGTAAGCAGCAGCAATGTACTCATGCTGTCCTGGACGCAGAGCAGAAAGTAGATTGTAATTCCGAGGTTCTCTCCCTTGTAACCATTACTCCACATTTCTTTGTGGGTGGCAAGTAATCTGTACCAGTCCTTCTCCAGATGACTGCCTTTGATATTCCCAGTGTTATTAGTATATTAGCCTTCTTCTGAGGGGAATGGCTATCTGGGGGACAGGGAAGTAGGGCTGGGGCAGCATCACAGAAAAGCTTAGCTTAAGAGAATTGATAATGGAATTTGCTATGCTGTGGAGTTACGTAATACTATAAATACGTAACATCTATCATCTAAGGACTTTGTACTATATTTTATATGCTACTTAATATAATCCTCATAGCATCCCAGTCAGGGAAGGAAAAAGTGCTACATCCTATTTATTTATTTATTTATTTATTTATTTATTTATTTTGATTTCTTCTTTAAGAATACAGGATAACAATTTAGTGAAGGGCAAGGTTGGCATTTTTTGATAGCTGTGAAGAGAATGGGCAGGTCTGGGCCTTCTATTTGTCTTTGCAGCTTGTACAGAGTTGTCTTTTGCCATGTAGAACAAGAACAAGCTCCACAGGGCTCCTGCTTTCTGACCTTGATGCTGATGAATGGAGATTGCATAAAGCTGTGGCTCTGTCCTTGCAGGCACAAAGTCATGCAGTGTAGCTGATCCAGCACTGAATGAGAAAAATTCTGCCCTGTAATAGTATTTTTCAAGTCACACGTTCTTCCCTAGGCTGGAGCAGCCACTGTTGCCCATTAACCCCTCTTAAGGCATGGAGTGAAATCCGTGTTCTGCTGATGACAGTGACAACATTTCTCACTTTTCCTGCTATTAATGATGTGCTGAGTCAAGTTGGTACTAAATTGTAGAATAACCTCAGTTATCTAGCCATTTCTTCTAATACAAAAAATATCTCCAGATATTCTCAGAGAACTTAAGAGACACAGCACAAAGCAAATTTCTTGCAAATTTTGTTTGTACCAAATATACAAAATCCAAAAGACTCTCATGATATGTTTGATTATATGCATGATAACAATGAGGATGAATGAAAATGTGAGTACCAGGGAAAAGTGCAAAGAATAAAGTTATGTGAGTAAACTTATCCAGTCTGGATCTTCAATACTCTTTTCTTTTTTTTTTTTTATTTTTCCTACAAGAGAGTAAAGTTTTCATTCTCTTTTCAATCCTAGTAGTTAACTATGATGGCCTTCTCCGAGTAGCAAACCTGTTTATTTTGGGGAATGAGAAATGCAACCAATATCTCAAAGGGAAGATCACAGTGAATGAGTCAGAAATCTGTGCCGTGGCTGAAACCATTGGTGCTGGGCCTTGTGAGGTAAATATTACATTTCCTATGAGTGTATTAAAGCCATCAACATGGTTATTTTTTTCTCAGAAATAATTTACTAGAGTTTTTATAATTGCATCAAACTTGTACACAATACACATAATCACAGAATACATATGTGAATCTTCTGCATTGGAAAATGATTTGCATTCCTAGTGATCTATTTTCTACCAGTGTGGGAAGAAGTTTCTTTGCTTCAATGGCACTGTACTTCCACATCAGCAAAGGGCTTACATACGTGTTAAATATACTCATGTGCCTAAACACTTTGCTAGTCTGACATAAATTTGCTTTCTACTCAATCAAAATAAGTTGTTACTGCTAGCCCACCGACCATTTTAGCCCTTATTGTACAGAACACAAAGATTGGAGCAAGTTTAACGGTTTAGCTGAAGTTTTGCACACAAAATAAAGAATAAGAAAATATAAATAAACAAAACCAAAAAGTCACTGCTCAGTGGAGTTAGTAAAGTTATGAAAGAAAGATCCAAAAAACATGAGATTCAGTATTAGACAGAAGAGAGGAGGATTTTTTCTCCCTAATCAAGCCTGAGCCATAATATATTGAGTAGAGGAGAAAGCACTTCAGTGATAGTGTAATTTGATACAGTTGGTTTTCTTGGGACTAGTGTTGACGTTGGAGAAAGGACATCTGAGGAGAAATGCAATAAATCATATCTTTGAATGGAAGATATCTTTGTGTGTGGAAAATCTGCCTGAAGAAGTGACATGTAGAAAGAAGGCAGTCCTGAGTATTATTATGTATTCAATACGCGGAGAAAAAGAGATTATTTCTTAATACCAGTGTTAACCAACCAGTGAAGTTTTCCCTACCCAGAAGTACTACCAAACCATGGTGAAACTAAGTCTTCATCAGGCTGAGGCCTCTTCCTTTTATTATTAATATCCCTTAGGATCCTCTTATTACAGCAAAGTGTAGTTTTTGTTTTGTTTTGTTTTGTTTTGTTTTCCTTCAAAATCAAATATTTCATCATAGATGGGCTTTTAGACATGTTAAGGTTTATAAATGAAACATCTGCATGGAAGTCTGCTGGGGTTCCTGCACTTTGTTTTCCTTTGCAAGGAGAAATGGACTGAATTAATATTAGCAATCAGTCTTAATCACCACATGGTTTCCAGCTCCCTGAGTTCCCCTTTGAAGCTATTTTCCTCAGCAAGGAACAGGCAGAGAAACAAAATCAGATTGGCAGGTGAAACTCCACTCTTAAAAATGTTTTATGAGTAGCCTTGATGATACTGACATAGTTCATTGCTCATGTAGGAACTAATCTGTAATCAGCTGGGGGAAAAAAATAACCAAATAAAGGTCAGGCATAGTTGTTTCTCTGGCGATCCAAAGAGAATACAATGTGAAATATTAGCTTTTATTTTTTGAAACCGTATCTCACTACCTAACACATTTAATGCCTAGTTTTGCAGCTAGTTTTCTAGATTCAGTGTAAATTTTCCCTGGATAGAAACGACTGTGTTCAAGCCCCAGATCTATGTGAATATAACTAAACTACAGTTTCATACTAAAAACCTTACTATACAGCCTACACCTATGACTCCCCAAAGCCCCCCTTGGAGGCTCAATGCTACTCAGTGCCCTACGACTCAAATCAGGTGAGTATGGTATTATACAGGTTACCTTACCAATAGGACCCCTATCAGACCACCTACATTATCTCTTTCTAATCCTATGAGGCACACTAATTGCCAACTCAATCTGTCTATAACAAACTGATTTAAAATTGTTTACTTATCCATAAGCCACATGGGTCAAGTCATTGCTGCAAGCATAATCCAAACCTTCTGATCATTCTCAGGAGCAATAATTCTGATAATCTATCACAGGATGACCTCCTCCATACTATTTTGCCTAGCTAACACAAACTACAAATGCCCACATAGCTGAATTCTCATCCTTACATGAGGTTTACAACCACTACCACCCCTCAATAGCTACCTGACTATTGCTATCAATCAGATCAAGCTAATTGAACAAATAAACGACAAGCATTGCCACTCTTCTGGTGAGTCAGAGAGAATAAAATGCTAATTGTTAGCTTTTATCTTTTTAAACTGTCTCACTATCCAATACAAACATTTACTGCCTTCTTTTGCTGCTAATTTGCTAGATTAAGCTTTGCTTGATTTAAAACTTCAGTATCTGTGCTCAAGTTATGTATCTATGTGAATTTACCTAAACTACATTTTGAATCTAATTTAATTTGTATGGATTTTAGTGCTAAATAAGACTGATCTGAGTCGGACATGAACCAATTTTCCACTGAGTACATGCAGAGGTGTATACTTGTCTCATTCACACAGAATAATGACCATGAGTGTTTTAACAAGTTACATTTTTTACACTGCAAAGTACTACTATTTTTTTTCCTGCCTAGTAGTACACATAGATTCTCATCCTAATGCCTTGAAATACTGCCAGAGGGATAACCACCTTGTTCTGTCAGTAAGCTTTGAAACAAAGTCTGTTATCACAACAAATATATTTAACAGTCATCTCACTTCCTCATCTCGCTTATTTGCACATAAACAAATATTGTACTTGGAGTTAGCTAAAACAGGAGAGTAAGAGCTGGTAGTCTGAAGTCACTAGAATTATATGTAAAGAAGGATTACTTGCATGTAAATTCTGGCTGTGAAAGAGGTATTGGAAGCTGTGTTCCAATGGTAAGTATAACTCTAATGCCTGTTCATTAAGCTAGGTCCTACCAAAGAGAAACCAGGCAGTAATGGACAGGTGGGAACAGTTCCTTGTAACACTTTCAGAAATTATTATTTTATTATTATTATTATTTATTTTTTTTTTTTAGCGTGATTATGGTGGTCCCTTGGTTTGTGAACAAAACAGGCTGAAAATAGTAGTGGGTGTCATTGTTCCTGGCCGTGGATGCGCCATTCGAAATCGTCCTGGGATTTTTGTTCGGGTCTCGTATTATTCACGGTGGATACACAAGATCATGATGACCTACAGAAAACCCTGAAAAACTCAAGAATTTCCATTCACAGATTTTGGACAGCATAGAATTAATGTGTAATGTAAAGATCAACAATTTTTTAACTACTTGATAGTCAAGTTTGTTGAGCTTCTTTTAATATTTATGGATGTTTTTGGTGTTTTGCCTATCAGTGTTGTTTTATAAATATTGGAGTGACTTACAGTATATGCAAGTATTGTGACATATCTCCTGAAGATACTTGAATGGGTAAACAATTTTTCAAAAATATTATTACTGTATGATAAATGGTTTTGTAGAAAAAGATCATATGACCTCTTTTATGCTGCTCTTCAGATTATCTTTAAAGGAGAAACAAATTATAGCTTTATTTAACACATCTTATTCTTTCTGTGAGCCATGTACTTCTCTTCATTTATGTCAAAAGATCTACTGAGAGATAAATACGTCTATCAATGACAGCATATATGACTCTATTTCTCTTACCCCTTTATGAGAGGTCAAATACTTCAATATTTCATTAAAAAATAGTCTCTTTAGAAATTAGTCTTTTCATTGTTGACCATTTTGACAAGCCTTCCTTGACTGGAACTCTTGTAGAAGTCAGTATCACTTCTTTTTACACAGTACCTGTAAACTCTGGTTTTGCACTTGGTCCCTTTTAATTCTGTACTTGGCACCACAAGAGATATATCAAAAACCCTCTGGATCAAGGAAGAGATATAGAACTGTGAATTTACAATGCTAAAAAGTGTATCTGATAAAATTTAAAAAATTAGAATCATTGAATCATAGAATATTCTGAGTTGGAAGGGACCCATAAGGATCATCAAGTCTAACTCCAATTAATCTTGATTAACCATTGACAGATTTTTGCCATTAAAAGAAATTTCAACTAAATATGCCCAAATCTTTCTCAAAAGGCAAGTGTTAAAAATTCACATGCTCCTAGGTATTTCATTAAAATAACTCTGTTTATATCAGGAAGAAGTATAGTTGAATCTAACTCTTGGCTGAGAGACTTAGTACTGGTTAAAGTTAGTTATACAGTGATAGTCTTTTCAGAGACTTCAGATATTTCATAAGACCTTACCTTAGTTTGTTCAAAAACATATCCTTTGTATAGTTCCTTTCAGAGTAATAAAATTATTGCAGGGATCTTATCTTGTATGAAATATGGAAAACATCACTAGTTGTTTAGTATCTTGTGTTTCCTGCCTGTATGTAGAACTATCATTCCTTTATGTTGATTGGGAAAGGGAACAACTATTCAGCATCAGATAAGAGCTTGTTCTGCTTCAGGCATTTAGTTGTATGTCTGGAATCATTACACAATTAGCAGATAGCAATATGTTATTATAGGGGGTTGTAATTTCTGGAAAGCTGATACATTTAACCAGTTATTTTTACTACTGTAATGGCTTAAGTAACAGCACTGTTACTTCACATGTGACTGTGTAATTGTATGTGTTTCCAGTAGCAAATTGTAAGGTATACATATCATATCTAACTGCATAGCCACTAAGCTGACATCATGATGTATATATACAAAAGTATATTTCATTTAATTCAAAAAATGCAGGGCTGAATTCTGCCCTGACAGAAAGTAACAGCTTCAGAGGAGCTGTCATGGGAGGCAGCGCTCATGTTGACTCACTAAATTATTTTCTTCAGCAGTGCACTTTGACTTCAGTGGGACTCAGATATGCTTACTTCTCCTGGTGGACTAGGATGAGTTTTGGCCCATGCTTAAGTGGTTTGGCTTGCTGAGATTTGTGTCAAGCATCCAGCAGTTTATTGGTGCATAGGAAGAAGTCTTTTAGCAAGCAGAACTTCTGAAATTTCTCCTGATGTAAATAGTTTTGGACAAGATGCAACTTCCCTGTACAAGGGATCTGAGGTTGTGGATGCTACATGGATAGTCTGTCTTGATTTATTCTGTTTGTCTCTGAAGGCTTTATGCTCCTTTTGGGCTCTCTCACTCACCAGGCCTAAAGAGGGCAGGATTTAGCCTGTTGTATTTACAATTAATTATTTCCATGTATGTTAACGGTGTATTCTTACTAAGTATATATGGACCATAGCATACTGAAAGGATTAACTTTTTAAGAGAGACTTTTGAAAAAACTCCAAGTGAGTTTTGTTATCAATCACAAATAGAATGTGGATGAAATATATAATTCCATGTTCACTTTTTGTATTCTAAGAATTATGTGCTCACTGTATTATATTTGCAGGCATTTTAAGTCTATCTAAAAAATTGAACCCTAAAATATTTTAGTTATAAGCTTCTGCTGTGCAGAAGACTGTGATTTATATATATATATATACACACACATATATATATATGATAAAAATACTGTTTTTTGTTAGACAACGTGTAAGGATTTTTACCTGTTTGTTCTGGGCAGCACCTCAGTAAAAGTTTTGCAGAGTTGCTGCTCCAGAACTTAACATGTTTGTATGCACTTGCTCATCAGGCGTTCCTGCTCTCCCTAACTCAGTATCGAGGGCACATGAGGCTCTGAAGAGCAAGTGAAGAGAAAAATAATGATATGTGGTAATGAATTTGTACTTCATTTATTCCTGTGAATATTTCTTGTTGGTACCAATGGTACCGTACCAGGCAACTGTTATAACTACAGGATTCTCTTAAGAAAGGACACTCTATAGATACTTTTTTTTTTTTTTTTTTTTTTTTTAATTGTTCTAACATATTTCTCTCTATAATAACAAAGGGACCTGATCTAGTGCCCATCTAAATTTCTGGAAGGCCTCTTACTAACTTCAGTGGGATCTGGAATTTACTTTGTAGATGTGATATTACTCATATTAAAATTAAAGGGTACAGAATTTAAACCCATGTCTAAGAACATTCTTAGACTCCATTAAATGTTGTCTTCATTTTCCCTATTGCAACTAGTTTATGGACTCTGAAAAGTGTAATAGCTGGATATGAAATGTTGGGATTCAAACCTAAGACCTGATTTGCGCTACTGAAGTTAGTTTGAATTAATTACTGATTTTCTTTGGGCACTGGAACTGACTGACATTTCTTTCTTTCATTAATGAATATGTTTTTCCCTTTAGAAAGATTTTTCCCTGTTTCTTTTTCTCTCATAAACCTCATGACTCTCAGAGAAACTGTTGGGAACTTACTGGTCCAGATTTTTGCTGCTATTGATAAAATCTGCTCTAGCTTAAGACTAAAATTCTCTGAGGCATTCTGCAGATCTTTGTTGTGTATAATGCCAATGTACTTGACAGAGATACTCACTTTTTCAGATGAGGGTCCAAATATGTCTCTGAGGGTCAAAATCTACTCAGGCAAAATGTCCCTTGAAATCAGTGAATATGATTGTCAAAAAGCGGGGGCTGAAATTTGCTCAATGCTTTTCCCTACAGCTGTGCACTGAACTATATGCATCCTTGTACACCGAAAAGCACACCAGTTCTGGACTTCACAGCAACTGAAACAGCAGGCGAGGCTTTATTGCCATCCTTCTGGAAGGCTGGTTGTAAACCAGTTCACCCCCATGGAACCTGTATAAAACCAGTAGGATTGGTTATTGTCTTCTTTCCTTATTGATTATTTTCTTCCTCCTTTATGTGCACTGGTATATTATTGTTTTATGAATGTTGGGGCTGCTGGCAGGAACTGACATGGCTTTTCATCCTAATATTTTATGGTGTTCCTTTTTAGATATACTCTTGGGCATTTATGTATGGTGTTTCCTTGTGTAGGTTCTAACTTCAGGGAGCTACCTGTAGAATTCAGTGTATGATAAGAGTATTTTTTCATATTTAAGTGGGAAAATTAATGCTCCCATTAAAGACAACTAGTTGAAAGCCTAATGAAAAGGGAACACTGTGGTTATAACTTGTATTGCAAATCTTCTGTAATTAATGGCAACTTCATTAGTTAATAAAGTCGGTATTTTTGTAACCTTGTTTATTCTTATTATTCTTAATAAAGTATTTTATAAAACAAACAAACAAACAAACAAACAAAAAAAAACAACAAAAAAACCCACCAACATAATTAGCATTATATTTCTTCATGAAGAAGGTTTGGAACTGCAGTGCTAGGCTTAGAAAAATGAGTGTCTGCCAATGAAAATGAGTGTCTCCCTAATTTCAGCAAGGGATTTTACTGTGCAGCGTAAGGAGGGCTGGTATTTTAAAGACCTTCATGCATCTAATAGGAAGACCACACATGAAAGATAAAACCAAATCCAGAGTTTGATACTGTTGAGTATCCCCAAGAGATTCCTGCTGGAATTCTGCACAGACAATGGCCTAAGCATATTGTGGAGAGAGTAATTTGGGGTGGAAAGGGTGTGTTTAATCTAAACAAGAGCATTTGCCAAAAGAGTTGTAGTTCCTTACAGTGACAGTATGGGAGGCTTGGCATTTTCTCTTCATATACTTAATTACATTTCAGGAAAGGGCTTCCCTCACTAAGTCTCTTAGTCCTACTGGTGGTATTGCTGATGCAAAAGAGAATACCTTGCACAAACCTTGGGGCTATTGCTGCTGCTGCACGTGATATCAAAACCAACCAATAGCAATAGCTAGCAAAAAAGGAGACAAGTATGAGCCTTACTAGCATCACTGGATGAGTACCTCCATTCAGATGGGTACTGATAAACTCCTATAGCATCATGGCATTCTGATTTGGAAAGTTCAAGTTAATGGACAGTAAGTTCATAGCTTGTTTTTAATTATCCATCTAAAATTTCTAAGTTCTAAGCATTTCTGGTTTCACTGAAATTATGGCGATTTAAATATATATTTGCTAACAACTCCAGCTATATCAACAGTGAATCATTCTTCAAATGATCTCATACAGAGTGTTTGAAATCTGATTTTGATCTTCCATGGTAAACACCTCATTCTTTACATTTGTAGTCCAAAAAGGGGGTTTTCTAATAAGTTAATAAAAACAGTGGTTTTTATCAAAAACTTCTGAAATCAATGGGAAACTTGTCAATAACGTCAAATGTGCAGGAATGCTTCAAAAATTATAAAAGTCTAGAAATAGCCCACATGTCAAAATCAGACCTTATTACAGTTTTACATTCAAAGTATTAAAGATGTTCAGGTGACTGGTCTACCTCCTGGGAGCCATGAGAATTAACTGCTTGTACAGCAATTTGCACAACAAAGATTTATAAAGGGATATTTCTTTCTATTACAATCTTCTGTTAAGGTTTTATCTTTTGTAGTTGCAAGATCACTGTACTCTGCAGATGATAAATGATGAAATCCACATCAATGCTCAGAACTTGCCTTCTGCTCTTTGTTATTTAATAAGCCTCATGTAAACAGAGCAGGCCATTTAGAAAAGTTCAGTTGTGTATCAACTCTGCCTTCAAAAGCACCGATTTCTGGACAGCTATGCTCCAATAAAAAGCACTTGCAATAAATATGAAACAAAACAGCTGGAAGGAAAAAGACATATCATAAAAAGGTCAACAACAAAGTAAGCCTTAAAATGAAGTTTTTGTTGATTTTTTTTTTTTTTAAATGTTGTCTCAATTTTTATAATACGATATGTGGTGTGAAAAGCTGCAATAGAATATTTTAATATCCCTAGCCTTCCTAAAGCTGATTCTCTCTGGTTCAGAACACTTGGAAAGGTGCAATGACTTCTCCGTACGGTCAAAGATGTAGTGCATGTTGTGCTTCTGTGTCTGAAGACCTGATCCTACTAGCATTGAAATTAATGTCAAAGAATTATCTAGGGCTAATAGCTAGGTCCTAAGTCCTCCTCCTGGACCCCTCAACCTTCTCATAAACTGTTTCAGATTCTGACTTTGATTTGTTCAGTCAGAATCTAAATGAATATAAGGATTGTTTCATTTGTTTCTATTCAAATCTTGTTTTCATTAAAATGATGACGGTGATAATAATAACAACAATAACAATAATGACAACCTGATGGATGCAGTTAGTTTCAATGTAGTTTTTATACACACATATCCTCAAAGTATAAACTATCCACTAGGGAAAAAAAGAAAACCTGTACCACTGCAGAACCCAAGAGTTTTAGGGGATGGCTTGAGATATCTCAAGTTGTGTCTATTTAAGCTGGTGTTGCCCTCAGCTGGGTGGTTTAATATATCTTACTGGGAGAAGTTATGCAGGAGAGTGCAATTCAAAACAATTTATTAAAAATAAGGAAGGAAATATGGCATAGGGTTCACACATGGGATTAGGTGAGGCTAGTGTACAGCACAAAAAGTCCTTTCCACTTGAGGGAAGTTTTCCCTGGAGTAACATGTGAGTTTATAGTATTTAATTCAGTTCAGATTATGCTAACTGAAAATTTTCCAGATGGTTTTCTTTCCTTGTGGATTAATGTCAGGATGATACACATGCTGAGGAAATAGGCATTTAGATCAACATTGCTATTACAAACCATGTCAACAATAGTCTCATATACTGGGTGTAAATATGCCATCTGCTGTTCAGAATTCAGTTTAACAGTACTGTAACTTCATAGAGCAGCAACTATATAACTATAACTATAAACTGCAGCTATATAATTTCTTCTCTCTCCCTCTCCTTCTCCCTCTCTTCCTTAAATGAAAGCTCAGACAAGTTGCTGCTTGTCGTAGTTTTGTATCAAGCATTCATTTGAAAGTCGTTATTTTCCCTGTGCATCCCCAGACGAATCTCCATTATTGCCTGATCCTATACTTCTTTGAAGTTTAATTTTCTGTTGCCAAAGTCCCCACATAGCCTTAATTTTTGCTGTTGAACATCTAAGGAATACGTCTATAAGAATGCCTGTAGGAGGGGAGAAGTTGTTGCGGTCTTGAAATATTCGCAGCTTTCAGACTGCAAATATCATTAACATTAATGTTCCTTGCTTGCTCTCAGGTATATTAAAGCAGGGAAAGGTAGATGCTATGGGTTAAATGTCTTCTACATATCCTACATTAGTGAGGTTCAGTTATCCCTAGGGAGATGCTCTGCAGCCATCCACACCAAACTATTCATACGTAGCCAGAGGCTTGATGTGACTGAGCACTAAACCACACAGAGGGATACACAAACGTATGCACACCACACCCATACAAATTCATACAGATAACTAGTTGATCCAAACCAATCCAATCACTTCTGCACTGGCAGCCTGTTTACATGTACATGTATGTCTTTGTGCCTATTTGTGTGTTTGCATATGCATATGTAGCTATTCTGTCTAAAACACTATATGGGTCCTGTCGTTGGAAGCAAATGAGTAAATCTGGTTAATGTTCAACCAGCTGTATTCAGTTTTGGACTCATCAGTGCAACTATAGTCTGCACACTGAGGCCCTAAAAGTTAGAAGTGAACAAGCTCAACCATGGCTCTTAAGATATCCAAACCCTCTAGACAATAAGTACTTTTTGCATCCACATGGCTTGTTGAAACGGTGCACATGCCCTTGGAGACCCTTCCAGATGCTTTTTTTCCTTCTTATTATACTTTAGTATTGTTAGCTATCAGTAGAGACAGGATTTAGTGTTAATTCTATCTTTAAGTTGTTGTTTTTTTTTTTTTTTCTTCTTCTTCTATTTTCTTTTTTTCTTTTTTTTTTTTTCCCTGTAGAAACCTGATTTCTTACTGGAGCTCTTTTTGGGTTGCCATCTTAACGACTTTGATTATAAGCCTCTTCTACAATGTTGGATGGATTTCCAGGCTGGTATCTTAACTTTACATGTATGTAGCACAGAGGCTGGGCTGTATTTGTAAACATGGTATTTTTTAATCCCCTCTGATACTATTTACTCCTAGTGACTCCCTAGTGCATATAACTCCCTAACTCTAATCCCTGAGCATTATTTCCTTTAACTTTCTACTACTGAAGTTTCTCATTTATCATTTATCTGTATCTTCCTGTCTGGCTTACACATGTGCTTAAAAACAAACAAAACTTTTTTTTCTTTTTTTTTTTTTTTTGTTAGCATTGCGTTAAATCTACTATAAAATGTTCTTATCAGTAAGCCTTCCATCATGACATGAAGATCTTACCAACTCAGTCTACAAGATTATGTCATTTTTACTACCATGTTTGACAGAGACCAGGCTGGTTTCCAACTGAAATCTATTTGTTTTCCCTCTGGTGTGTTTGCCTACCTTCCCAGGCTCACTCTCTCTGCAGCTTCCTCTAAAGAGGTATTTCCCTGCCTGGGGATTGTACATTCCCTTTTAAAAGCAGGGTTTTTTATCGTTCCCACCCTTTCAGAGTTAGAGCAGGCTCCTGAGAGGCTGTTCATAACAATTCAAACCTCTCCACACTGAGAAGAGAAATTGTTTCCCTTTTCCTTGACAAGTTCTTCACTGAATAAAATGTTCCTTATCTTTCAAACCATTTCTAACTAAATGCAGGAGGGAATTTATGAAGCTGATGTGAGCTCAAGCAAAGCTGATGTGAGCTCAAGCAACCGAAGTTTACAGTGTCTACCTCACTAGGGTATAAAGCAGAAATTTTGGATGTGCATCTGTTTGCAAAATTTAAATATAGTCTTAAAATTCTCATATTTTTATGAATGGTTATTTCTGACACTTAAGATAACTTCATGAATTCTCCTCTTGTAATGGACATGGAAGATTCAGTGATATTTTCACAAGCAGTGGTACAATGCAGTCCAAGGGACTCCTCAACACTGCTGAGAGACAAGGACTCAAATTGTTTTTCTTCTTTACTTTTCTTTCTTGCTTATTTTCTTATTTTTATTGTTTGTTTGCATGCTACTTTATTATTCCATTTTAACATTGTCAAGAAGAAAATAAACAGGGAAGAGTAAGACTGGTGTAAGTGACGTGTTTGAACTGTTCTGGGTAAGATTTATAGCCTGCTAAAGGCAGCTTTTTGGAATGTCCTTCTCTTCACTCCTCTCTTGGAAGTTTTCTTGGCCTACTTAGTTGTCTGAAGACATTTCACTTTCTCTATCT